TTGGCTCCATACACTCTCTACGTCCCCAAAACAAATTCGTAATCTAACTTCACAGAGTTTAAGATAAGTGTTGGAAAGTGAAAGTGTGTGGTTGGATTTTGTTAAGAGAAGAGAGTTGTGAGCCACATATTCATTTTGTTAAAATGAAAGAAGAGAAGCATGAAACTTAATTTTTGATGGACGAAAAAGGAAATTGTGAAGGGGTAAACGTCGTATATTGATTGATAAATATTTCATTACAATTTACAATTATAAATTCAAAAGGATGCTTGGGTCATTAGTGACATTATTTATTAGCAAAAAATCTTCTGTTTTAGATAAGTCCTTATTTCACCGTGGGGTATGCAGGAAACCCATTGTCAATCTTGGATGGAATTTTTGTGGCAATTAAGGATGACATTGATCTCAACCATCATTATACAAAGGGTATATCCAGAATTTGTCTCCTCTTTTACCTATCTCTTTGCCATGCTCATTTACAAATTTTGCACATTTACAGCTGCTACAACATGGTTGCACGAGGTTTATAAAGTTGAAAAAGATGCTGTTTGTGTTTCAAGATTACGCAGCTGTGGTGTCATTTTGGTTGGTAAGGCAAATATGCATGAGTTAGGCCTGGGCACAACAGGAAACAATCCTAATCATGGGTAAGTTCAGTTCACGAACGAACATTAACAGCCATGGACTTTCAGTTTTATTTTTCAAAATCTAAAGGTTAACTGTGTGCCTCCTTAACTTTAGATAGTGTATCCATTGTTTATCCATAACCAGCGCCTTAATCATGACAAGTTGGGGGCTTTGCAGTTTGCATTGAATTTACGGTGACAAGGGAATGGGAAAGGTTACTTAACACTAGATAACAAAATTATTCTAGATTTTAAATAGAATAATTTCTAGAAAACTTTCTTTATAACATGGGTCTTTCCATATATAGTCCATATTATATTCGTGGTCCTCTGTATTTGGGGACTATTTCAAGGTTACTCCTTCAAGGATTACATATGGAAAAGTATCATTGGGAACTTTTCTACGATAAGTCCTCCGAAGAACTTATCGTGGAATAGTTTTCAAATAGAGGACCATGAATTTAATAGTTTTGTAAAATGGACTATATGTGGAAACTGGAAAGGCCCATGTTAAAAAGGACGTTCTTTTTTTTGGAATTTACTCTTTTCAATATTGTATCATGTTTAGTTGTAAACCACTGAGGACATGACTTTAGATAGGGGACCATTTGGAGAATGAGCATTAGAGTTGTAGAGTAGGCATAGCTTGAAGCGTGTGGGGGGCTTGTACAATCAGTTAGATAGAGTAGGGCATGCGCTTTGGGTCCTTCTCTCTGTCTGTCCTTATGTGTTGTCATTTACTTTTTCCCTGCCTCTCATTTTTGTCTCCCTTTACTTCCATATGCTTTGCTTTACTACTCTTACTCTCTTATTTCTTTAACAAGTTTTTGGTTGTTTTCTTAGCTGGAGGTCTTGCGGAAACGGCCCCCCTACCTTATAGGATAGGGGTACGGTCTGTGTACATCTACCCCCTAGACCTTACTTGTGGCATGTACTGGGTTGTTGCTGCTGATGTTGTTGTTAATGGAATGCTACTGCACTTTTAAGCTGCAGCACTCAGTCTTGCAATGTCTATAAACCTTTTCCGTATGAATGTTCGTCATGATTTTTATTTTTCGTTTAACTTGTGTTTTATAGATGGGGTGGGGGAATATCTATGGACTTGATGTTTCTTAAATTTGATATGGCTATGTAGTTTAATTTAGTATGTGCAACAGACATGACCATATTTTACATTACAGGACAACAAGAAACCCCCATGCTCTTGAAAGGTACACTGGTGGATCATCGTCAGGCCCTGCAGCAATTGTAGCTTCTGGATTGTGTTCTGCTGCACTAGGAACAGATGGCGGAGGTTGTACAATTATTGAGTAACAGATAGTGAATAAACTTGCCCCGTCTTCTGAATTTATTATAGTTATTGAAACTTGAGTTGTGAATGGAATGGCAGGTTCAATACGGATTCCTTCTTCCCTATGCGGTGTTGTTGGCTTGAAGACAACATATGGACGTACTGACATGAGAGGGTAAGTTCACACAGTGCATGAACTAGAGTTGAATATGTAACTTTGTCAATTGTTCTCCTCTTTTAGGGCATCTCCAGTGGAGGGAGAATGAGAGGGGAATAAGATGATGTGGAAGGCGAAATGTGAGAAGAATGATTAGAGAGTTAAGAGCAATAGAAGAGAGAGAAGAAGATGGGGGAATATTATTCCCCTGAAGAGAGAAAATATTTTATTAATGCATTGCATATTTAATTTTTTGTGAACCAATGATTAGATGACAAGTGTAAAACATATAATAAAAAAAGTAGATGAATGATTAGAGTATGGTATGGAATATTGGAGAGGAAAATGACATGGCTTTTGAAATGGATGATGTAGGAGGTGAATAAGGGTGAATGAGGAGTGATGCTCTTAGTATTAATCTCCAATAGGTAGTTCAAAAATGAGTAAAATCTAAAAAAATAAAATCTTTAGCTTTTACTGTACAAAATTTAGACCTCCAACTCAAAGTTCATAAAATAGAACACAGTGTATTTTTCATTTCTTGTCAGCCAATTAATTATAGCTGCCACTGTAGAGAGTGTATTTTTCATTTCTCTCCTTTGCTGCTATTTTCTCCGCTTCGTCAATTCTATCTTCTCCTTCACTGGTCCTCTCCCTTGCAACTATGGACCTGCAATTTCAACTTTTTTGCTGGATTGTTGTCTGGATCTGTAATTTCCGGATAAAGATGTCTGCATCTGCACAAATTTTTTTTGTTGGAATTTCCCCTAGGTATGGATCCATTTTTTTCACTGGATTAGATGAAGATTTTTTTTTCCAACTATGGATCTGCAACTTTAATTCAATTTTTTTTCTGGATTGGTTTTCCCAGTGTGATGAACCCTTCCAATTCGATTTCTCCAAGGTGAAGGGTTCTTGAAGAGCTTGACAACTGGAACACTGCAGGTGGCGTTGGTGGAGATAGAGAGGGGAGAGAAAAAGGAAATAACAAATTAAGAAGATGTGGTTGGAGCTCACGTAAAAAAACTTACCTCTAAAGTACTGTAGGAAGTCTTAAAACACAATTTAACTTCTCATTTTTAACGTACCCGTTGGAGTTACTCTTAATATTTAAGAAGGTTTTCAAAGGTTAAATGTGTTAGATGTGGGCTTATAGATACAATTGGGTGAGGTTGAAGTGGACTCAAAAGATATGTTGGCTCAAAGGTTCATTAGTAGGATGGTGGAATCCATATATGTCCCAAACTAGATTGGAACTAAGGCGTAGTTGATTCATGTATGTTATGATTTTTCCAAATGCACCTGAGAAAAGGAATGCATTTTCTTAGTCATACTTTTATAGATAATGTATACATTCTCTGCACAAATAGAAATTATGTATTTCATTTCATGATAGAAACCATCAAATTTTAAATTTAATTTAGGGTTCGTTTGGTACACAAAATTGATGGAATTGGAATTGAGTTAAAGATTGAAATTCTATGGAATTGATTTGGATGGAATTAAATTCTTCAATTCCAATACATTTTTGGCACTACCAATTCCAAATCCACATATTTTTAGGATACCAAAAAGCAAATTTAGAATTGTTGTCCTCAATTCCAATTTCATAATTTGAATTCCTTGTACCAAACGGAGCCTTAAAGAAATGGGAACTTGTTGAGAGTTATCTTCAAGTTTTAGATTCCGTGTGCAGAGCAACATGTGGCTCTGGGACTGTGGAGATCATTGGACCCATCACAGCAACCGTCGAAGATGCTATTCTTATGTAAGCTTCCTATGGGCCTGATTCTGAGTGTTATGTTATATTCAGTGTGCTCCATCTGATCTTTTCCATTGTCAGACATGATTGAATTGTTGTTTTGATACCAGTTTTCCACAATAATTTGGATCCTACCCTCCATTTAATACAGTATCAATTTGTCCTGATCCTTGTGTATAATAATAACATACACTGATGTATTCGTTGCATTGGCGGATGCAAGGAGTTACGGGGGGCACATGCCCCCATTAAATTCCTAAAATATTTAAACAAACTAATTTTTTTTGGATTGATTAGAAGGTTGCCCCCAGTCCAAAAAATAAGGTGCCCCCAGTCCAAAAGATAAGGTGCCCCCAGTCCCCAATCCAGTCTCGTAACTTTAAATAAAAAATAAAATTACTCCATATATGTTTATTTCCCCTTGGCACGGAGCAGCCTTGGCTCCACCCGGGCTCCAAGCCTCCAAGTAAGGTAACACTTTCTATTCTTATGTTTTTGCTCAATTTTTAATACTCCCTCAGTCCCTTAAACTCTTTCTCCTTTCTTTTTTTCTTGTCCCATAAACTCCTTCCTCTTTCTATTAAAAAACCACTTTTACCCCTACTAATTTTTACCCTACCTATCACATCATACCTTTTTACTAATAATCTATCCATTACATCCTACTTTTACCCATCACATCAAGGGTATTTTTGGAAAATCAACACAAAAATATCTCTCCCTTAAATCCTTTGAAAATCAACACAAAATATCTCCCTAAGCGTGAATTAATAGGGATTAGACTGGTCTAAGTGGTTTTTCTTGGGGCCTAGAGTATTTCCTGGGACCTAAAGTTTAGGCGGGGGTTTGAGATTAGGTGTTTTGACAAGAATAGGCAGGAATTTTCACATCAATGAACATATTTATTTCTATTTCATTAAATAAGGATTTACTCTCATCTACTGACATCCTTATCCAATTTGTTAGGTATTCAGCAATTTTAGGAGCCTCTCCTGTTGATAGAATTTCTTTAAAACCGGTAATTTGCTTCAAAATTCATAATAGCTCACTTTCCTTATGTCATGGAGAAATGTTTTCTTCCTTTTACCCTTATTTATAGCAGTAATGTAATCTATTTGGAGCTCTTGCATCTAATATTGTTTATATAAACATTTGAATAGCTTATGAAGTTATGTTCTTTCACTCATTTGATAATTAATATTGTCGTGGTGATACTAATGAGCAACAGTGAAATGAGTGAACACTTCCCAGCTTTTTGATAAATTTGAAGTTCATCATGTTCATTGTTTAGCCTTCAGTCTGATGTCCTCCTATAGAGCAAAATACTCACACACAGACACAACATGATGGATTCCCTGCAAACATTGTTTCAGTAGTTATGTATTATCGTGCAGTACCAGAATACCAGATATATCTTGATGTGAATCGGGAAAGCTCGTTAATTCTCTTTTCCCGGATAAATAATGACGTCTGGCTAGGTGAAATGAAATGCAAAATACACCAAATAATGTTTTGACATGTCTTGTGATTTTTAGGACAAATTGTTTTTTCAAATATTTGATTCAGCAATTTTTATATATCAGGATTGATTAAATTTATTTAAGATATTTGTATTTTTTTATTTTAATTATATTATAATATTGTGTGGTTTGGCCTATAAATATGCATGTATTTCCTCATCGTAAGTCATCTTTTGAAATTGAAGTGAAAGTTTGAGCATTATAAAACTCTTGATAGAATTTTAGTTTAAACATGAGGGTTTATTAAGTGGGTTTACTTTAATCACCAAGGTTTATTATCTCAGGGATTATATAACTTTGCTCTTCGTCTTGCTACATTTAAGTAGTGTCGAGGTGCGAAGAGATAATCCTTGTCCTTGATTTAGGAAATCCTGCAAACTTCTTGTTAACACCAGTAACAATTCTTGCGCCCATGTATCATATCTCTATACTTGATTTAAAAAAAGAATTAGCCACATTATAATAATATTTTTCTTCTCCTTCACCAGGACAAACCTTGTTTACCTAATTTATCTTCAAATGGAAGTTTGGATGTTCTGGGATCCATGAGGTTGGGAAAGTATACCGAGGTAAGTTGCGTCCTTTTTGCTGAAGATTCTCGTAAATGAGTTCTCATATGATTATTTGAGTTCAAAGTGTTAATGTGTTTGGCTTTGTGCTTCAGTGGTTTAATGATGTTTCCTCAACTGAAATATCTGACAAATGTGAGGATGTATTAAATCAACTATCAATAAAATATGGGTGCAAAGTAAGTCCCCTGCACGTGGCTTCTATTTTTATGGACATTTATCTTTATGAAAATTGCATTACTTGTTTGTAACTTTGTATGCAAGGGAAAAATAGTTCCATTTTCCATTTTGATTATTTTTGTTTGCCACATTCAAGACAATAGAGATCATAATACCCGAGCTGCATGAGATGCGAACTGCTCATATTGTGTCTATAGGTTCGGAATCACTAAGTTCATTGAATCCCGACTTTGAGAATGGGTATGCTCATTCAACCTCTATTTATTGATCAATCACTCTTAAGAGTGTATTCACTTGGTAAATTTCAGTATCTTATACCACACTGCATGTTTCCACTCCTTTTTGTCAGGTATGGATCAAGATTGACATATGATACTCGAACCAACTTGGCACTTTTTAGGTCATTCTCAGCATCAGATTATGTAGCTGCTCAGCGCCTTCGGTAAGACATACTTTAACAAACATTTGAGCAGTTTTCACTTTCATATTCTACATGCATTTATGTGAACCAAACATTGCTTTAGTACTGTTAAAACCCCCTAAGAATCATGAACTCGCATTGGTTATCTACTTTGTGTACATCTAGTACGTTAGTGTGAGATAAATCTCATTTCTTGAGGATCTTTTGGGGTGGGTTTGTCTTATCGAACCTGGAATCAGAATCTGGTTCGGTTGTATTTTGTGAGATTTTGTTCTAGTCACATGATATTTGTTCTAGTCACATGATATTTGTTCTGGATATGTTTACTCAGGAGAAGGATAATGTACTACCACATGGAGATATTTAAGAATGTGGATGTCATTGTAACCCCTACAACTGGGTATGTTAAAAGCTTTCTTTTTTGGGGATGAAAATGTCTGGAAATAGATCTTTTCTTGCCAGATTCATTACTGCAATGGGTTCTTCCCACTCAAATGAAATCCCAGTAAAGAAAGTTAAGAAACTGAGCTTTTTTTTCTTCTTCTCAGCATGACAGCACCAATAATACCTCCAAGTGCTCTTGCAGTTGGAGAGTCAAATTTGCAAGTCTCAGGTTGGCTTTTCCTTTTCTACTTCCAGGTTTACTTGTGCTGGGATCCTTTATTCCAAAAAGCGTTGTATCCTCTATACCAACACCCCTAATGGCCCAATGCCTGGGGCAAGTGTATGAGATGACATCACTAAGGGCCAGTTAGCATGCTTCGATGAATAGCGAGGTGCCCAACTTTTGGAATGGGACCCCTCTTAAAACTTCTAGGAATAAAAAAACATTAACTTTTTCTTTACTTGTCAAGGTTGAAATATGATTAATCATTAATGATATTTTTAGTGTTTTTTTAGGCTTGATGACTCTTAATACATGCTTCTTTCAGGAAACCTCATGCGCTTCATTATAGCAGCAAATCTTCTGGGGCTTCCTGCCATTTCTGTCCCTGTAAGTTATAGCATCTTAATATATAAGGATTCAATAAACTATATTCCATGTGATAAATAGCTAAATCATGGTTGAACCCAAAGAAGCTACCCTACCAATTAAGTGGGCATTTACTTAACAAAGTGAACATTTGCGTTGTTGTAAAAATTGTCACGTTGCCATGAATGATCTCCGTTTAATGGTTTAGGTCCACTAAGTTGTCCTTGGACACCTCATCTTATTGCTTAGGTTCTGCCTAATTTCACTTAAAGCCTGCACAAGCTGGATTGATCTCCCATAATGAATAAATGATCAAGCACAAGTTTGGTTCACATATAGTTCCTAGGGGTTTTTTACATCATCGGACAATTGCATGTTAAGTGTTTTATGTCTTTAGTGTGTGACATATTTGGATTTTCAGGTTGGGTATGACAAGGACGGACTACCCATAGGCATCCAACTTATAGGCCGGCCATGGTGTGAAGCTTCCATTTTACGTTTAGCAGCTGCAATAGAGGTATTGTGTTGACACCTAAACGAATACTCTCTTCATTCTGAATTAATCATCTCAGTTTGACTTCACGTAGTTCAAGAAAAGTGTTGAAAAATAAAAAATGACTGGTTGAAATTTGATTAGGGTAAAGAGAAAGATTGTGGACAATATTTTCTTTGCTTTATCAGGAAAGTAAAGAAGTGAGACAATTATTTTGGGATAGATTAAAAAGGGAAAGACAATTGATTTGGGATGGAGGAAAGTAAAGAAGTGAGACAATTATTTTGCGATGGACTAAAAAAGACAATTAATTCGGGATGGAGGAAAGTAAAAAAGTGAGAATTATTTTGGGAAGGACTAAAAAAGAGAGTGATGCAATAAATTTGGCACGTAGGGAGTATTGACCACCATGACAATGGGAGGTGAAGTATGTGATGTTCGGACTTGGGTCCCCCTTGAACGACATCACAGGACAGTGGGTTCCTCATCTTAGAAGAATAATCCCCCCCCTCTGTCTCAACATAAATTTCATGACTTTATTTTTTTCACCTTCCTACAGAAACTTCACACTTTCCCAGTTTCCCTATTTCTTCTAAAGCAAAGGGATGTGTGGCTTGTACCATTTCTCTCTCTTCTAAACAAACTTCAAATCACACTATTTTCACTTTTCAACACTTTTCTTGAACTCTGTGAAGTCAAACTACAAACCTTATTACTGGGGTCAGAGTCCAACACTTTTCTTAAACTCCGTGAAGTCAAACTACAAACCTTATTACTGGGCCAGAGAGAGTAATAAAAAAGACTACCATTCTAGAAAAGATGATAAATTCAGTAATATTAAGCTAACACAAGGCATGCTTTTTTATTTCAGGAGAATTGTTCATCCCCCAAGAAAAAGCCATTGCAGTTCTATGACATATTGAAGAAGGGACATTAAACAATTTCAATTAAATAAAACTAAATCAAGATTACAGAGTGAATCGCTATATCATGTAAACTCATATGATATAACCATGTAAACTACTCATGTGCAAAATACGGAGTAATACGGAGTAAGAACTACAAAAAGGAAGACTACCATCTTACCTTTTTGAGTTGTAAACACAAAATGAGGATCTTCTAACATTTTTCTGTAAATTTTACGGAGTATATATTTAGGTCCACAAAATGAATGGGAAATTTAGGACCATAAAAGAATTTGTTACCTTTGATTTTTTGTTTGAAAGAAAAGAAACCCTATTAGATAGTCACAAACAATACTTTTTTGAAACAAAGCATTAAATTAAGAAATTAGGGGAATAAAGTTTGGGAGTGTGTCAAGCCACTCCCCTAAAACATCATCATAGCAAGTACTACGCGCCAACCAGTGCATTGCCTCGTTATAAGAACGAGGAGTAAAGCAAAATCTATGGTCTCCTGCATAGAGAATTTGGAGGTGCTTATGATATAGTGAAAGTAAGACCAGTTTCTAATAGTACTATTAAGTGAATCGATCACCTCTTTACAGGGTGCTTCCACAAAGACTTGTTTCCAATCTTTATTTTTAACCCAACTAAGAGCATCTCCAACATTGTATATTATATTGACTTGCTATTTTTATATTTTAACAAGTGAATAATGACATAACAAGTGATATTTTGTTGTATTTTCCAACCATGGCTTGCTAATTCATTCTATAACTCTTGGCTTCCTATAATTTGAAAAGCTTGTTATATTTAATAAGCCAAAGTCATTTTTTTTACAAGCTTGCTAAAATTAAACAACTCTTTGGAGAAGAAAAAATAGGTTTACTTGCTATATATTATGGCTTTTAGGCTTTTAGCAAGTCAAAGTAGGATGATTGGAGATGTTTTAAGTACTTTCATAACTGTGATGACTTCCACTTCAGGTGAACCAAACTCCCTCTACTTCAGGTGAACCAAACTCCCTCTGCATTTAATATTCTTAGTAGCCATGAACCGGCCTTCATAATCTTGTGCAATAAATCTAAGACCTACTTTACCACAAACAATAATTAATAATGGTCTTTCATACGGAAAAAATAAATAATTAAAAATTAAAATAACAAATGTGAAATGGAACAATTAAACAAGAGTAAATTCCATAATTGGTCTTTTATAACAGGGTGGTTTCCCTATTTAGTCCTCTATTATCAAATATTATCCCAATGATCCTTCTTTTACGGGTATCTTTCCACAAATAATCCTTTTTTGATCTTCTATCATGTTGGTATTAATTTGAGGGCTAAAAATGTAATTTCACAATGATAATATGTCTTTTTTGTCATACACAATTCCAAAGGCTGTTCCGTTTGCGTCATTTGTGAATTATAGTTGTTTTTTACTACAACCATAGTCTACAAATGTGGTCTTTCGTCAAAATCCTAGCCCACAATCATAGTCATTATTTTTGTGTTATCCGCTTAACAAATATCAAAAGACGTCACTAAACATAATGTTAATGTCAAATTATACTTTTAGCCTTTCAATTAACACCAACACGACAGAAGATCAAAAAATGGATCATTTGTGGAAAGGTAACCTTAAAAAAGGACTACGAGGATAATATTTGATATTAGAGGACTAAATATGGAAACCCTGTTCCTGTTATAAAAAGGACCAAATGGAATTTACTTATTAAACAATCAAAACGAAGCCCATCTTCCCGAGCTGGAGAATATGATTGAGAATGGCTTCCAAGCTCACTCCCAAGCTCTTCGCGTGGCTCTTTCTTCCTGCATTCATCCTCATCGTCCTCTACTCAGCATTCCTTCCTCTCCAGGCTCCCTCCTCGCGCGATTCGAACCCGGAGCTTCGGGTTCCATCTCCGTGCAATCCGTATAAAGGGAAATGGGTGCTCGACCCGGCCCGGAAACCCATGTACGACGAGACGTGCCCGTTCCACAGAAGCGCCTGGAACTGCCTTAGGAACCAGAGGGCGAACATGGATCGGATCAATTCATGGAGGTGGGCGCCGGAAGGATGCGATTTGCGTCGGGTCGACCCGGCTGAGTTCCTGGGTCTGATGAGGAACCGGAACTTAGGGTTCGTGGGGGACTCTCTGAGCGAGAATTTCTTGGTCTCGTTCCTGTGCATACTGAGAGCGGCTGATGAGGGCGCGAAGAAGTGGAAGAGGAGAGGGGCTTGGAGAGGGGCATATTTCCCTAAATTCAATGTCACCGTCGGCTATCATCGGGCTGTCCTCCTTGCAAAATATGGGTATGTTCATCCACAGTTCTTAAAAAAACAGAATAACCTATTTTTATTTCTTGTTGCTCCAATATTTAATCATATAGTTTGCATACTGCAGTTCGATTTGTTAAAGTAATTGAACCACAATGTGAATGGAACTCTACGAGTACTTATTTTGTTAGTGATTGTATGTACACAGACTTTACCCCTACTAGGAAGTAGAAAGGCTTCAATTTTTTCAGATGATTCACCTGTCAATGTAAGACTTTGTTGGACACAACATTTAAGGCCACAAGGTATATAACAAATGATTAAGAAGAGAAGGCACTTGTGTGTGTAGTTCACAACTACGCGAAACTCTCCAAGCTTACACAACCACTATAGAATTATCAATTATGTAGGTGATCCTACAGTTGGAACTCACAACAAAACCTGGGAAGAAAGTATCTTGAATTCAATGTTTACGTCTCGTTGAAGGGAAGTTTTTGTAGATTAAATATCTCATCTAACGTGCAATGAAGGAAGATTAGTTCTCCACCAGTGTCGGGTCACTACTTCATTATAAAATCATGAACCATTAAGATAGGGTCCCACTCGACTCAATCATAACAATGCAAAGTGAAGAAAGTTAGAAAGGTATGGCTTATATACTATGCTTCAACTAGAAAGCTCACTGAGACACACAAGGATAGTAGTGTCCGGTAGGCCCCTACTAGGCACAACTTAAGCCCAATTAGGGGCTAGGCCTGGTTCACTCTCTAGTGGTTGCCTAGCATAAAAGTACTTGACTTAATGAAATGAAATTCAAAGCTTGTATTTATTGAATCTGCTCTAAGGGATTGACCTTGGTTGAATTAGGAAGGTGAACGAGGCCTGTTCTATTAATGAAGATGGACGAAAGGGAACATATCGAGTAGATGTTGATATTCCAGCAGATGATTGGGCACACATTGATGGATTTTATGATGTTCTAGTATTCAACACAGGCCATTGGTAAGTGGTAACCTCCTTTTTCTTTTATCTTTGCTTTTACCGAACATAGTTATACTCGGTTTCAACTGTTTAGATAATTGCTTCCACTCTTGATCCTGCAAGACATATAGTCTCTTTCTGATCAATAGAGTACATTCTATGTGAGAACTCAGTCTTGCCAAGCTACTAAAGCTGAAAACTCAAAATGCTACCCCATGTCTGCCTTCTCTACTAATCCATTTTTTAGTTCGAAAAAGGAGAGTGGAATAAAATGGGGGTGGTTAAAAAATACTCCATTTGTCTCATACGAAGAGTCCACTTCCAAAAGTTCCTTTACGTGAGTGTACAACTTATCAACTTTAGTGAGGCCCAACTATTATACGCCGTATGTACTATATTTTTAAGGAAACTTTGCTGCCAATTGTCCAAGTTTGGAAATCTCTTGCACATATCCCGAGTTTCAATATTGCTAAGAATAATCCAAAGTTTTCATTGGTCATCCAAAAATAATCCACACTCTAACATTGTTAGTCTTTCGTTAATATTTGGAAATTATGATCCGACCTGACCACTTTGTACCAAAACTGCAATTTTAAAAAATGTATAGACGGGAGATTGACTATAAATAATTCTAATTCTGAATTGGATCAAACCAAAATAAACTTGGTCAAATTCTTAAAATGGTTCATCTAGCTTTCAAATGCGCCAAAGAAATTGGCTAAGGTTAATCTAGTCTAGCCTAAATCAAGATCAGAATCAGTTACATCGATATATCCAATCATCAGTCTACACATTTTTGTAAGTCTGGTTCAAGTCCAAAGTGGTCCGTCAGATTAATAATCATAATAATAATAATAATAATAATAATAATAATAGTAATACTGATAATACTAATAATAATCATGATCATTTTCTTCTCAAAAAAAATACTAGTAATAATTGTAATAATTATAATAAATTAATAATATTCCCTAAAAAAATTAATATTCATATTAAAACTAATAATAATACTACTAATAACAATGAATAATAATGATAATAAACAATCTACAGAATTGGAAAGACATATCTCATATGACATACTATACAACAGTTGCAGGACTAGAAAAATGTTATTTTCCATTGTATTTCATGATTTCTTGATTAAACCTAGGTTGAACTCCAAACATTAAGGTTTTCCAAACTTCTATCGGACTTCGTTATGAATCACAGTACATAGATATAATTTTGTCTTAAACTTAATTAAATAAGCAACGAGACTTGATGCCTAATGACTATTTACATCCTACTCCCCCCCACCCTACCCCACCCCACCCCCCTCACACTCTCACATTTTTAACTTTTAAGTGATCCATACATGGTTGCATGTAATCCTTACCCTTTAAAATATTCTAGGTGGGGCTATGATAAATTTCCAAAAAAGACCCCTCTTGTATTTTACAAGGCAGGTCGGCCCATACAGCCTCCCCTGGAATTGTTGGATGGTTTTAAGGTTGTTGTGGAGAATATGGTTGCTCATATAGAAAAACAGTTCCCCAAAACACTTAAGTTCTGGCGTTTGCAATCTCCAAGGCATTTCCATGGGGGTGATTGGAACCAGAATGGCAGCTGTGTTTTCAGTGAGCCACTTGACAAATCTCAGGTATGCAATGGTAATGTTTATAACCTTTTGGTTTCAATAAGAACCTTATTTTATCAATTTAAAAGACTTATAGTTTATAGTACCCCCCTTATTTTCATGATTGGTCCTCACACACATTTCAAGTAGGACTTCTTTTATTTGATTTCCAAGAGTGCCTTTCTTCCTAGTATAGGGGCAAGGTTTGCTTACACACCCTTGTTAGGTTGTGGAATCTTGAGTAATATTTGATGTAGTGTAATATATTAATGTTCACACGGTTCAACCTAGGTGTTTGGACATTGAGTTTCTACAAGTTTATTATTTTATAGCTATTGGTTTGAATAAATATAAGTGGATCCCTGTTTTTTAATGATAAATAAGCTTTTCCCTCTCACCTTCAAAACTCCCTCCCAAACATTCCTTTACGAAACTGAAATATTGAGAGGTTTGAATGCATTTTGTCCATTCCTCCGTGACTTCCCTGTTACCTATCAAAGCATCAATTTCCAGAAGCTCAATGGAAACTCTTACATATCTCCATTCATAGGGAAAATTGTGCTATTAATCCTCAATTGCATGACATTATGTATTTGTGGGCCTGTGACTCGTCCTTTTTTTTAATAATAAATTTAGGCGATCAGTTATAATAACTTACAACTTGTTATGGCAAAACAAAATGTCAGCAAACCAAAACTGGTCGACAAACCAACAAGAATTGAACCAGCCAAAACTGAAACTGACCATAATTCATCTAAGAATTGGAGGTTCAGAATTGCTGTATCAGATTTATCCTCTAAAAAGTAGAAACTAGAAACTGGCCTAAGTTACCCTTAACAAAAAATAACCTAGCCAAAACCGAGCTAAGGACATCCCCAATGGAGAGAGTCTTGAGACTCTTCCAGACTCTGGCACCTTAGCATTTTACTATTTCAGATTTTTCTTTAGATTTTCAGGAAAACTACTCCAATCCTCAGACTGTCTTAGACTTTGCCACATCAACCTTACACTATCTATTAACTTTATTTACATTAAATCAATATCTAATATTTAATTGTTGCACATTGATTTTTTCTACCAAATTTATTTATAAATACAATTAACCATTTAAAAAGTTCAACAATTTAAAATATTACTGAGTATTTATTAAAATGAGAGAAAATAATACGGAATATAAACTTAACACACATGTTTTTAGTTTTTTACGTGTTTAGTTTTTTAATGTTTTTATCGTGTTTGTTTTTTTAATATTTTTAGTTTTTTTACAAAATAATTGTAACTAAGTTTTATTTTCAAAAATTAATTGTTCTTGATTACACATGTCTAATTTTGGAAGTGAGTCTGGTATTTCAAAGATTCCCTTCTAGACTTTTCCCATTTTCTATCTATTCCAAAATGGTAAGTCTAGAAAAGAGAGTCTTAGATTCTCTTTGTCTTTCATACTCTCTCTTAAGACTCCCATTGGTGATGCCCTTATTTGTTTCGGTTTCTGTTTTCATATTTTTCAAAACCAAAACGATCAAGCCAAAGCTACGACACCCTGCAATAGGTTCCTCATGTTAAAATAACTGTTTAGATTGTTGCGGTGAGGTGTTATGGTTTATGTGGGCTTTCTCAGCAAGTCAGCATTCTATATTGCCAAGAATGCCAGTAAACGTTTTTGTTAAATTGGGACTTTAACATGAAGGACGAATTTAATAATAATAATAATAACAATAATAATAATACATTAATACTAATTGTAATAATAATAATAACTACTCCATTATTCTTATTATTAAACTGTAACAATTTGCAGAATTGGAACGACGTATCTCAGATTACATATTGTGAAACCATTGGTGCACTAAAAAAAGTGATTGTCCCTTATTTGTGTTGCAAGATTTCTTGATAAAGCTAGTTTGAACTCCAAACATAAAAGGTTTTCTAAGGGATATTGTTATGAATCATAACATATGTATATAGTTTTGTCCGAAATACTGATACCTAAACAGCTGGACTTGTGGTTTGATCCCAGAAATGAGGGAGTGAACAAGGAATCCAGAAAGTTGAATGGTGTGATTAAGGAGGCGATAGATGGGTCACCGAGTATAAGAATACTTGATCTGAGTCACCTGAGTGAGTTCCGGGCAGATGCCCATCCCGCGATTTGGTTGGGCAAGAAGGACGCCGTGTCTGTTTGGGGTCAGGACTGTCTGCACTGGTGCCTGCCCGGACTTCCAGACACTTGGGTTGATATATTGGCACAACAGATTGATTCATCATTGTAGTTTATGCTCTTGAACTTCCCTGTGCTTTGGGTGCTCTTAACCGGTGTGTGTTACTCTATTTACTTTTCTTTGTTTCTGAGATTGGAAACAACCTCTCTACTCTTCCGAATAGGGGTAAGGTTTCTGTACACACACTGACACACACCCTAAATGACACCCTAACTGACTATTGTGGGACTTAATTGGGTTTGTTGTCTTGTTGTAGCAGATTCATTCATCATTGTAGCATGGAGGAGAATGGCTGTTGATTTATTGCCACACAGGTCTGCAAGTTCATGTTTTACTGAAACCAGACTCAAAGGTGCTCTTGTTTCGGCGTTTAAGGGTCCGTTTGGCACCCGCAGAATGTTAGGGAAGGAAAACAAGAAGGAAGATGAGTGGGAACTGGGAAATTTGGAGGGATTTTCTTTTTCTTTTTTTTTTCTGGGAAGAAAAATGTTTTTGCTTTCTTTTTTCTGGGAAGAAAATGAAAAGTTGATTCAATTCCTATAAATCAGTTATACATTTGTTCAAACTCATTTTATTTGTAGACTTCAATCGTATTGACCATCAGGGTCAAAAGATTCGAAACATACTCATACCATCTGACTTTTGACAAAAGAACTTACTAATGCAATCCCTTAAAAATCCCTTTTTTTTGTTGACCTACAAAAATTCTTTTGTTCATTAAGATTTTTTTTTTGTTTTTGTATAAAGTAATATAGCTCCTAGTCCAGAGTAAACGTGGACTTTAATATGAGATGTGTAGGGTAATTCTTTTGGTTTTATGGGGGGGAAAATTAACTTCCCGTCTAATGTAAAAGTGGATATTATTAAAAAAATAAGAATATATGTAGTGTTTTAGAATTTGAGATCTAAGAGTCATAAAAATTTAAAAAATAAAAAAATTAAGAAAAATGTGTTGGCAATTTTTTTAATTAATTTGATATTTGCAAAATGTACCTACTCTCTAAAGTGCACTATGATGAACTATCTACTTTGTAAGGTCCACCATGCCAAATATATACTCCGTAATTTATTATTCTTATTTCTTTCATTAAGATTCATTTTTATAAAAATCAGTCCTTGTTATGAAATGTCGTGGTGTGTCTAGAAATATCTTCTGCTGGCAGCACATATAGTTTTTGTTGCACAAAAATTAATATTATTTCATTTATGTTTTACATGAACAAACAAGACTACTGTCTCTATTTATATTTATTTTTCATCAAATGATTTTAAATAAATGTATGTATAAACTATAAAGACAAAAAATATGGAGTATATACCTTTAAAAATAAATATACGGTGTATTTTTTCCAATTTACTCTCTCTGTCTTACAATAAATATCACAGTATCACAGCTTACTATTCAAAAATCACGAAAACTGTTATTTACATCAAATGATTTTAAATAAATGTATGTAAAAACTATAAAGACAAAAAATATGGAGTATATATCTTTAAAAATAAATATACGGTGTATTTTTCCAATTTACTCTCTCTGTCCTAAAATAAATATCACAGTTCACTATTCAAAAATTATAAAAACTTTTATTTATTTGTACGTTTTTATTGATAATTTAATAAACCATATATATTTTTTGTTTTGAAGATTCTTTCATTGAGTTTTTAATTACCAAGTATGTAAATTTTATTTTTTTTTATTTCTATACCAATATTTGTATAAAACAAATTGAAAAAATTTTAAATTTGTTTTGTTTTGCGTAATGTGACAAATATTGTGAGACGCACGGAGTATGCGGCTTACTAATGTTTTTTTCATAAAAAATAAGTTCTAATTATTTTTAAATTTAACATCAATTTTGTCTTATCAAATTAAACTAAAAATTACTTTAACCGCACTAAAACAAATTTACTTAAAGCCAAATAGTTATTTACTCAACTCCTCCTCCTTCTACTTCTTAGCTAAGGTCAATAGTCCATTCTTACACAGTAGCAAAACATAATCCAATAGTATTTCAATTTCCTGGAAGCTAATTACAGGTCTGCTAATTTTTCTACCTTCCCCTGAGAATCAATCGGCGATCGCGTGCTACTCCGGCGACTCTGATTTTCATCCCTTCGCAGATGATATAACGATAGTTCCATAAACGTCAATCCATCGGAAGAAGGCACGATTGAGTTTACAAGCTCAAGATATGGCTTCCGAAATCGAAATCGTATCCGACTTCAGAGATCAGAAGAGCCCTACTGGTGAACCAAACCCTAACCGAACAGTCGTCGTCGATGTGCACTCCGCTTCTGCAGCCGGAGACCTCCAGAAGCTCCGGGAGTTCGTTGAGAACGACGACGTTTCTCCGGCTCTCCCGGATCCAAATGGCTACTACCCTCTTCAGTGGGCTGCTCTCAACAACTTCCCCGATGCTATGCAGTACATAATTGAGGTGATGATCTTATACTACTCTGTAAAACATTAATTAGCAGTTGAGCGGAGTGAGATGATGAGATTTCATGTTGTAACTCGAAATTCGTGTGCTTGTTGATTGAAGCATGGAGGCAATGTGCATGCTAAGGATCATACCGGGCAGACTGCTTTGCATTGGTCAGCTGTTCGTGGTTCGATTGCATCTGCAGATGTATTGATGTTGAATGGGGCACAGGTAGAGGCAGCTGATTCCAATGGCTATCGGGTAAGTTAGTACAGTTCTGCTGGACTGAGGTTAAAAAAAGTGATCATTTTACTCTGAGGTTATTGCTTGGAGTGGTTTTAGATTTGGAATTGTGTTGTTTTTGAATCCTCTGTGTACATTGCAGGCAGTTCATATAGCTGCACAGCGTGGACAAACAGCTTTTCTTAATCACATAGTCACAAAGTATCGTGCTGACATGGATGCCCCTGATAATGATGGAAGAAGCCCTCTTCATTGGTACACTTTTTCTCTTATATGGCATGCATGCTTTCTTTACATTGTTGTGTGCAATTTCTAATTTCTAGAGTGGATATCTGCACCGATATAATTGCTTCTTTCAGTTCTTTGAGGTTGGCCTTACCATATTTTATTTATGACAATCAATGCGATCATAGAAAATGGGGGGTTTCTGAGTCAGTGTTGCTACTTGCTAGAAAGATTCTTCTGTTTCCCCTGAATAATCTAGGTAGTGTCGGTAGATAAATAAATATGTAGCCTCATGCCCTGCTTTTCTTTTCCCGTCAAATTCTTATCAGGGCCGCATATATGGGATTTACTGAAACCATTCACTTATTGCTGTTCAGGAATGCCTACCAAGGCAGACAAGATAAAGATGGTAGGTATGCCTGCTCTTGATTATACTATATAAATTTCAGTGGTCTAAATTCCATGTCACGTGAATCCCCAAATCTTGTTTAGAAATTACTGGAAGTAATATATCACTAATAACATGCCCCGCTCAGTAATAAAAATACTTGCACAGTTAATAACAGTGGTTTAATTATTTCTGTTGACTTGCAGTTCAAAATTTATTTTTCTCAAATTTTTATGGTATGATGGACTAATTCTCTTTAAAGATGCTGCCTTTTAACCATGCGGCTGGACAACTGTGAGACTCATCCATTTATGAAAGCACTGATCTTCAAACTTGGTTTAATCTCGCACATCCACTGTAAAACAGTGATATTTTTTTTGCATGGTTGTTCCTAAACGAGAGTGTTAGTAATTCTACACAGTTTAATTCTCCACAGTTAGCTTGCTATTGGAGTCAACCATTCGACTAGATATTCGAATTCCAAAAGGGCTTATATCAAAATTTTGATATCTTTTAATTTTTGTAGGATGCACTCCTTTGCATTGGGCTGCATTAATAGGAAATGCAGATGCATGCAATTTACTTGTATATGCTGGCACAAGGCAGGAATTGATGATAAAAGATAGAGATGGACACACACCTGCAAAACTTGCATCCGACAAAGGTTATCGGCAAATCGTTCTATTGCTTGTATGTCATTTTTATTGCTATTACCTACATATAACTTCATTCATATTTTTGTCTTTAATTTTGATGATTGGTGGTCCATTTGGATGTTATTGTGCCAGAGATGACAAGTTCATTTTGGTGGTTTACTGATTTTTTGTATCTGTCAGCCACTCAGCTCTTTAATTAATTTAGTCAACCTAATTATTGTATGAATTGGGAAAAAATGTGTCAAGTGCTACTAGTACAGGCCGTACAGCTTCATGAAACACAAAATATTCTACAGACGATCACAGCATTACATTTTGAGAAATTTTTGATACTTTGCCAATGACCATAACCATTGCCTGTGTTATCCTGCACAGAATAAGGCAGAGCATGCACAGAGCCCGCGATGGAACCACAAATTTTGTTCAGGAATAGGATGGGATTATGGCTGGGCCCCCGTGTTGTTCAGTATAATTGTTATCAATGCCATTCTTTTCATCAGTTCTGTTCTTTTTGGTGGGTGATCTAAACCTTAGGGTCTTTAAATTTTTCCATGCATTCAGTTGGGATGCTAATTATTTCGTTACTGTGGCTTGTGGTAGCCCATAATCTTCCAAAGCCTACTGCGGTTGTTGCACTTTGGGGATGGATTGGTGTTTCCATGGCAATTGCATCTCTCTTAATGCTTGTTCGGTGTAGTAGGTACTGTTTATGTGTTTGAGTACTCTCTCTGTCTCATTTTATGTGTCAAGTTCTTTATGCACGGATACTTACAAAACAAATAAATAAAAGTTACTGCCCCAAATGGTGGTGGTGCATTTAGTTTCTGAATGATGTTCCTGATGCAAATGGTTGGTGTCTGTTGCTTGCAGTAAAGATCCAGGTTATCTTAAGACTGGGACCAGTAAACATTCTGATTCAGAAGTACTCGCCCTCCCATCTAGAATTCGTACTTCAGTAATTATGAAAATTTTATTTTTAAAATTTACTTTGTGATACTTCATACTCGTATTCTTAACCAACTGGGTTACTAAACTTTCCAGGATCCTTTGTTGAGCATTGATCTGAATAGTTCATCTGTTTGGACTGGGAATTGGTCTCAACTTTGCCCAGCCTGCAAGGTTCTGCATCAACCTAGTATCTTATTAACATGTGATGCATTTTTCCATACATATTTCTAATATCGTAGTTACTCTGACTAAAGATAATTAGGCCTCTGCGCGCCAAACACTGCAAAACATGCAACCGCTGTGTGGAACAGTTTGACCATCACTGCCCTTGGATATCAAATTGTGTGGGAAAGGTATAAAGCACATTAATCTCTTTTGCGACTCAATGAAATGGTACACATAGTAGACATAAACTTTACTAGTTTACTGTTATTATATTTTTGTGTGATGCATACATTGCCATTGGACCTAAAAGAGTCGTTTACAATGTTTTAGCTTCAGGTAAATAATGAGCTAAATCAAAATGCATGCTAAACTTCTCTACTCCCTACTTTTTATGAAGTTTGGGTAGTAAATGCAGCAATGCATCAAGCGTCCAAGTGTTTAAACAGAAATAGTCTGTTTGTTTTTTGTTTTGGTAAGAATGTGTACAACTCGGTCCCGTAGAACCCCCACAGAGTTGGGATATGCTGTGTTTTGTCGTTGTTATGCATTGTAGTCTGGCAATTTTGCTTCCATATACATTTTCCCTTCATTTTTTATCCAATTGAACTTTGCAGAGGAATAGGCGAGACTTCATCATTTTCCTTTGCATGGGTATGTTGACATCGCTTATCGGGGCCATTGTTGCAGTGCATAGTATGTAAAAAAATCCAACTCACAATACTCACTGTGTGTAGAAGTCATTTAAGGCTTTGTTGTTAATGATAAATAGCACTTCATTGTTGAAGGAATCTGGATGTCGTTACCTGTATTAGGAGAAGATGATGGAACATGGGTGCGCCTTGTTGTGTTTGATCATCCTTGTGTCCTTGCTTTCCTTTTTATGGATCTGGTTATTCTCCTTGGAACGTTTACTTTGTTCATTGTTCAAGCATTTCAGGTATTTAATCGACTCTATTCCCACCCTCGTGTTACCTTCCTTATTGGGTTGTTGATGAAGATGTTGATTCATGTTTTAAAATCCTTTCAAGGTTGCACAAAATATAACAACGAACGAATATGCCAATGCTCGCCGGTACGAATATCTCCGTGGTCCTGATGGGCGCTTCCACAACCCCTATAACCACGGGTGTCCCAAGAATTGCCTAAGTTTCATAACCCATGGCTTCCCGGACGATGACAAGGTTGCCTGGCCACCGTTGCCACATCTTGTCCAGAAGACACACCTATGACTCTCTAGTTAGAAGAAGATACAATTGGTAAACGCCGCATCTCGCATGGGGCTTGTGTTGTTGTTGTTGTGTGTACAATATAGATTTTTCTTGCTTGCTTCCACTCTGTCTACCTTTGGACAGAAATACCCACATTGCATTACAGATTTACAGTGCAACTTATAAGAACCTTTTTTTTCTTCTCTTGATGCCTTAATAATTACAGTACTATAATGAATGTGAAGCTGAAAGAGCCAATGTTTTTTTAAGGCTCTGTAGGTCTGAGCTGAGGATTTACTTGATCAAATTTGATGAAAGCTAGTGAGTCCAAATCTATCTACCCAAATGTTGTTTTGATAATTATTGACTTAACAAGGTTGAGGGTAGTGTGTAGTAGTAAAATCAAGTCAAAAGATGAAGGTAATGTGTCGTAATTCGGGCTTTTGGAGATCCTTCGAGTTGAAGATATATTCTTTATGAGACGAGCGAGTGAAGATAATCAAACTTAGAGGTGGGAGAAGATAAGATTGAATTGGAAGAATGTCGTAAGGCAACAAAGCATAGTGAGAAGATGTCTATTTAGATTAACCAAATTGGGATATAAGATAAATCTATTCGCTTAATTATACTTCTTCCGTCCACAAATAAATTTTTCTTTCACTATTTACATGGCCAAATTTTATTCACTTTGTTAGCCTATTTTCGCCACTCATTTAATAAAATAATATAGTCACGTCACTTCTAGTTTTGTAGATCTTTTGATATACTCCCTCCGTCCGGGAATGATAGTCCCACTTTGACTTTTCCTCACTTTTAAGAGGAGTGAAAAAAGGCTTTGAAATGTCCAATTTACCCTTGTTTTAAAAATAAGGGATGGGGATAAGAAAGAAGAGAAAGTGGGAGATGGAACATAAAGTAAAAGTCATTATTTGCAATCATTGGGAGAAAGTGGAAAAGGTGTACTTTACAATCCAAAACACCAAAAAAAATTCATATTCCCCCCTTTTTTTTAACTACCCGCCCAAAACTACCCCTAAAACCCATTCAAAATGGGATATTACATCACTTTAAAACCCCCACTTCAGCACTTTCCATTTTTAGCAGCCACATTCTTCAAGCATACTCCCCTTTTAGAAACCAGTCACAGCACCCAAATCTGCCATTCTTCTTCTTCATGCCCTTTTTCAGTTTCTTGTTCTTTTTGTTGTTTTCCTCTCGTCTTCCCGGTGGCCTGCACGTAAACACGTAAATGAGTTTAGACAAAAACTCCAAGAATTTGGAGAACACAACGAGGCAGTTGATTGGTGAAGCACTACTACGTCATTGCAAAGAGAATCCTGATGGTACATTTTCAGCTCAGTATGGGCAAATCAACAAACTCGCTTCAGAGTTTAATGTCTGTCGAAAAACAGTCGCCAGGATATGGGCTATTGCAAAAAAACAGTTAGAGGATGGGGTTGCCATCGATGTGAGCAGCAGGATTGCAGGAAACAGTGGCAGGAAGAGGGCTTTCATGGATTTACAAGTAGTTGCAGACACTCCTCTAAGAAAGAGGACCAATCTGAGAGCATTAGCAGCAGCCATTGGGAAGCCTAAGTCCACAGTTCATGAGTGGGTAAAGAGAGGTATGCTTAGGAGCCATTCTAATGCTATCAAACCGTACCTTACAGAAGCTAATAAGATTTCTAGGTTAAGGTTCTGTTTAGATCAGATAGAACCTCATACCATTCCCAATAGCCCTGCGTTTAAGAGTTTTCACAATGTGTTGCACATTGATGAGAAATGGTTCTTTATGTCAAAAACTTCCCAAAAATTTTATCTCCTTCCGGAAGAGGAAGATCCATACAGAGCATGTAAATCAAAAAGATTCATAGCAAAAGTTATGTTCTTATGTGTGGTTGGGAGACCACTTTTTGGGGAGAATAAAGAACTGTTGCGGGATGGAAAAGTAGGGATATTTCATTTCACAGAAAAAATGCAGGCAAAAAGGAAGAGCAAGAACAGGGAAAGGGGGGTGGTAGAGGTGAAAGCAATCACCAGTGTTACCAAACAAATCACAAAGGAAATGCTCATCAATACAGTAATTCCAGCTATCCAAGAAAAGTGGCCATCACAGTTATCCAAAATCATACAGATTCAACAAGACAATGCAAGGCCACACATTCAAGGAATAGACACAGACTTTGTGGCAGCAGGTAACAGCAATGGATTTCAGATCACCCTATGTAACCAACCCCCCAACTCCCCAGACTTAAATGTCCTAGACCTTGGATTTTTCAGAGCAATTCAATCTTTAAAAGACCAATGTGCTCCAAGTACAGTAGCTGATTTGTTAGATGCAGTGGAAGGAGCATATAATGCTCTAAGTCCAGAAACCCTAAACAAGGTGTGGTTGAGTTACCAGCAGGTTTTAACTAAAATCATGGAACATGAAGGAGGCAACAACTACAAACTGCCACATATGGGAAAAGACAGACTAGCAAGGGCAGGGACACTGCCAGATTCCTTGAGCATAGACATAGGCTTAATCCAGAAGACATCAACACTGCTGGGAGAACAGAATGGGGCTATCAATGCAGACATGGTTGAGTTCAACAATGAAGAGGGTGATGAGTACTTCTCTTCAGAGTTGAACTGAATCCAATGTTGTAAGCATCAATGGTTTTTGGGTTTTT